ATGTTAAACTTATATTAAAGTTTTTCTTCATTACCCATTCAAGCCGTCTCCAGCCATTATTAGTCTCAAAGTGGGTTTCTCGTCATCGAATATTTACCAGTGTTTGATACTAGTGTGTCTTTTTTTCTCTCTCTCTCTGACCAGTTATTTATTTAGTACTAACAATTTTACATGTTAATTAATCGTTTTAAATCTAATTAACCAACTCGTTTTGTATTTTAACAGATTCCTAAATAATGTGGCGTGGCCTGGTAGTCAGAGCACACAACTCGGAATCTGAGGGTCGTAAGCTCGAATCCCGTCCCATAACTTGCTTGCTCTTTCAAGCGTGTGGGAGTTATAATGTGACGATCAATCGCAGCACTATTTGTTGGAAAAGAAAGTAGCCCATGAATTGACGGTGGATGGTGTTGACTAGCTGCCTTCCCTCCAATCTATAACAACAAAATTAGGGACGGTTAAAACAAATAGCCCTCAAGTAGCTTTGCACGAAATTCTAACTCAACAATCCTTAGTAATGACATAAAGAAAGATAACTTTTATCCTGTTTCCGTCTAGACAAGGGTAGAGATCTCTGTATAGATCAGCATGATTAATGATAAAGTTATATGTTATTACTCTAAGAGTGTAAAAGTTAGAAACCCGTTGTAAGTCAACTGAAAGTAGTTGTCGAAATTATATTACATATAAATCTATAATTTAAACAAGATGTTGTTATACGACACAAGACACTGTTCCATAAGCCTACTGTGTTCTATGACACGAGACACTGTTTCATAAGCCTACTATGTTCTGTGACACAAGACACTGTTTTGTAAGTCTACTTTCTTATACGACACAAGACACTATTTCATAAGCCTACTGTGTTCTATGACACGAGACACTGTTTCATAAGCCTACTGTGTTCTATGACACGAGACACTGTTTCATAAGCCTACTATGTTCTGTGACACGAGACACTGTTTTGTAAGCCTACTTTCTTGTACGACACAAGACACTGTTTCATAAGCCTACTATGTTCTGTGACACAAGACACTATTTCATAAGCCTACTGTGTTCTATGACACGAGACACTATTTCATAAGCCTACTTTCTTATACGACACAAGACACTATTTCATAAGCCTACTTTTTTCTCATCACCGAAACTGTTAGTTTCGGTGAAAAACAAAAATTCTCATCAGTTACTTTCATCGAGTTACGTTGGTTTCGGGATCTCTTACCCCTTAATAATAGTCCAGGACAAAGAGAAACCAAGTGGGTTGTCGTTGCTCTGGTTAGCTAGGGTTGTCCATCCTTTCGAACAGGAGAAGCTGAATTGTGTTTTTTGCCTCATTACTGTTCTGTACAGATGAATTTTGGATGGACAGTGTCACAGTTAGTGAATGTCTGCGATGATTAGGAAATATTCCTAATATGTAATATCTAGAATATATATATATATATATATAGCAGATATATTCACATTTCACGCTTACACTTTTGACCGATCTCAACCACACTTGTCATGCACCCTTAATGGGGAATGTCATAGGGGTAGTCGTTTGGATCTGACCCCACATGTTACCCCAGTGGTCCCTGTCTGTGTTCTATTGATCAAATATTTGGTTTTCACTTTTCACGCCTACAATTTTCATCTACCTCAACCGAGTTAGGCTTCATGTGTCTTCCGTTGTATCGGTACGTCAGCTAGTACTTAATAGGGAAATATATGTATTTTTAATTCCATTTCATTTCAGTCCTAGTATGAAAACTGGCAGACCAGCAGAGGGCTACGACCTTTCTTCGGCCAGTAGAAGTATCCAAATGTAGGAAACTGTGAAGCTGTGGATGGGTAGGTGCAAAATAAAAATCTGTGTAGTAGAGACGAGACTGAAGAAGCACGTAGGAGGAGAATCAGAAGTGGGCAATAACGATAGCATTCATAGAGCAAATATACAACAAGTAAAAACTGTAATTACTTAAGATGGATAGCTTTGAGGTAACAAAAGTGACATCGAAGCAGCATCAAAATATGGGTCATCTACTGGAAGAGACATCTGATAAATGTTAAGGAAATACTCAACAGGAAGAAGAAAAATATAAGTGTACTGGGACTTTTGTAGTGGAGGTATCTATGTATATGGTGTTTTATATGTATTTGAACCTAAATTTATATATGTATTTGAATAATGCATAGCATTAATGACAATTATCTATTATTGTGAATTGTTAATCGGACAAGCTGTTTTTTTCCTTAATTACCGAAATTGTGAACTTTAGTGAGAAAGAAACACGGAGCCAAATTACCATTCGATCTTCACTTATCAATGAGTTAGGGTCGGTTCCATCTCTCTCATAATGATTTATTTAAACATAACCTCGACTTACTTGGGCACCGTTTTTAAACGCATTGATTCGGAGATAAGAAATTTAGAATTATACGTACATGGGCTAAGGGATCAGGTTAGAGTCCCCTAAGGTCAGATGTATCCGTCCTTAATTTTGAAGTACTGCAACAACCAGTTAGGAGCAACCGTTACTACAATAATTTTGTCCGGTTATTTTAACCGTATAATAGCTTTGACTTGACTGTAACTTTTATAACACGCCCACAGATGATGTTGTGGAGTGTGTTTAGCGGAGACTCGGCTCAAACCTGAGATATTTCGGTACAACGGCCAGTACGCTTAATTATAGGCCATGCCCGTGACCTTTTCAAACAGGATTTTATCGCTGATGCAAAAACTGCTAATAACTGATTTAATCTTCACCGAGTTCAGATGGGAAGGTCCAAGAATAGATCCTCGATATCCCGTTGAACGCTATCCGCACTTTAAGATGTGATATTCAATCTCGCTACTTGGTAAAGAGCAGCTTTTGGTCAGCAGTTCTAAATCAATGGGCCGCTGATCTGGCCGTATATCCCACGTATCGCCTAAAATACCGTGCAGGTTGAAAGAACTCAACCCCATATTAGTATGATAGGTAGGATCTTCCCTTTATCACTCTCAGTTCAAACTTTGAATATATATATTTTTTTAAATAAATTAAAGTTTTTCATAAAACAAATTTTGGGGTGCTTGTGACTTCTCGCCAAAAATCGTTCTAGTAGTTAAGGTCTAAAAATAATAACATGCCATTAAAATTATATTTTGTCTTATGTTTCGAATAAAACAAAATGTTTCGTTTGTTTTTCGATTAAAGTTTAAGAACATCACTTAATCTCTAAGTTTAAAGACCAGAGTGAATAAATAATTATCTACTAACACATTAGCAGTACTTGTATGTTATCTATATTTACTAACACTTAGTAATATTTGTATGTTATCTATATTCCACTAACACTTTAGTAATATTTGTATGTTAGTATATATAGATAACATACAAATATTACTAAAGTGTTAGTGGATATAGATAACATACAAATATTACTAATGTGTTAGTGGATATAGATAACATACAAATATTACTAATGTGTTAGTGGATAGAGATAACATACAAATATTACTAATGTGTAAGTGAATATAGATAACATACAAATATTACTAATGTGTTAGTATATATAGATAACATACAAATATTACTAAAGTGTTAGTGGATAAAGATAAAACATACAAAT